ACCATTTGAAGGAATAATCTTAGTTTCATTTTAATTTCACTAACATCCAAACAACATTAAATATGATCAAAAGAAAGATTACTGTAATAAACATGGTTTTTAAAATGATGTGTAAAAATATTAATTTGACTTCTTGAAAGTTTATCAGGCCAGATAAACGGTGAGATAAAATGTAAAGCTGGGGTAACAACAAAATTGAACCATGTAATAAAATCCTTAAGAACTTGTTTCTAACGATCAATACTGGTCAGGGTTAGTTATTTCTGAATCTGTCATTAGTTATCATATTATCTGGCCTCTGTCACGGTCACATGACAGAAAAGTGAAAAGGAGGGGACCAGTCTTGCTCAGCCAATCATTGCCTCATAGGTCTCCTTATACGTATGCAAAAGACAACATGTTTAGATAAGATAACACGCATGGTCTGGTGTGGTTTGCTTTTACAAAACTAGTTCTGTTGGATTATGTCATTAATATACAAACACGTATACTAATGACACACAACATCTATTCATATAATTTGAATAGAGACTGGATTTATAGTCACAATCATAAACATTTACAAACATTGGAGCAGATTTAGATGTAATATTGATAGTTGTCTTGTTTTGTGTAAAGTAACAGTATATTTGATATTCTGGAGGGGCTGGTATCTTACACCAGTACGACAGGTTTGTGGAGAAGAAATAGGGTTTGCTTTCAAACTTTTCAGCAACCACTTTACTGGAATCATGATCAATAGAAATACTACAACCAAACAGCCATGTGTTTAGAGAAGGGAGTGACTAAGAGAGGGTGGGAGCGGGTGGGAGAGGCGGAGGTCCAAGCGTTCTCAGGGAAGTGGAGTTGTTGTTGGCTGCGCTCCACATATGACTTCAGAAAGACTCATATTACCATTTTAAACAGTCAACAGTAGAATAGATATAACCACTTGAAATGAGAAACTTAGATTGGATCCTAGATCCATACGGCTGTTGTGATTTCAGTTAATCGCTTGAGTCCTGACTCCATTATATCATGTTTGATCAATATTGAGCTGTAATATTTGACGTATAATGATGATACAGGGGTGTCATAGATGATAACTGTAATGGAGATAAGAGACAAATGTGTCTTCTCTAAATATTCCCACGCAAACAACAATGCAGAGCAAAGTGTAGGGCAAACATTTACAATAAAACAGTGGAACAAAGTATAGAGGCATGTCAAACTCAGGCTCATGGGCCATATCCGGCCCACGAGACAATTTGTAATGGCCCCTGTAATGATTTTCAATACTCTAAATTGCAGTAATTGGCAGCATTGATCTACCAGTTTACTAAAAATGTACTTATAAGTTATAGTTAGTCAAAAAAGATGTATCTCTCTTCATCTCTTTGCCCACGTGCTACTAGAAAAAAATATCCAAACTCACAAAAAAATATACAAATTTTATTTGGCCCCCGACCAAAATGAGTATAACACCCCTGAAGTAAACAATCATAGAAAAAGAAAAAATAGGTACGGCAATCCAGGGGCACACATATGGAAGTATGACAAGTTGTAGCAATAAAGAAACACATGATTATACTATATTTAATTAAAATGATGCAAAAAGGTCAGTTAGTAGAGTTAGTAGATTAAGTATTGCACTTGCCATTATCAATGAGGACGCTCTTTCGATATATGGTGCAGCCCTAGTTTCAGTGCATTCTTGTCTGACGTGGGGAAAACCCTTCACACTATTTCTTCTTTCTCGTATTTTACTGGTTGTTAAGTTTTTATCCATCTTCATGTTGTCCATTTACTCCCACTTCCCCTGCTCATTCTCAGTCCCCTTTGGACAGTCGCAGACATAAAACAGACCATGTTTGGTAAACTGCACAGTGCACACAGATACAGGAGTCTGACATCATCCCATCGAGTGCAACTGCTGCTGCTGCTGCTGCTGCTGCTGCTGCTGCTGCTGCTGCTGCTGCTGCTGCTGCTGCTGCTGCTGCTGCTGCTGCTGCTGCTGCTGCCGCTGCTGCGGATGCTGCAACGCTCTAAGTCAAAGCAGCTACATTTTTCAAGTGTTTTTTTTTTTACCCCTGTCACAATAATACATTTTGACACATGACATTAGAATAAAAAATTCATTGTCTTAAGCCATGCTTGCTTCATAATTCAGAGATTGTATTTCATGAAGCTGGTCACAGACGAGAGGAATGATCTATGAGACATCCGACTGTGAAGTGACCCGGACGCACAATGAACATATGACGTCACATCCGGCTTAAACATGAACTCAAACTGACAAACTCGGTCTGCCTGTGTCCAATTCATATGTGCAGGTCTTCTTTAGCCTAAGCTTTGATTTATATAATTAACATAAAGCCTTTTGGTGGGTTGCTTTGACTAATAAAAGGCCCATTAAAAGCCAAAAATTGGGGGAAAACTATTATCAGAATTGTGTACAAATTGTCAACAAGGCACATTTGTTGTATTAATTTTGGCAGCACTACCTTGATAAAGCGAATATTGTCTTGAAGTAGATCTGATCACAGCAGCAAGCCCCACAGATCAGGCAAGCGTCCAGTGTTTATTTGCACCATCACCAGTGCCCGGTAACACTGGCACCGAGCCTGCAGCACTCAGAGGCAAAGTGTGGGGTCTCTGCTCTCCACTCCGCAGATCCGGACTTCACTCAATGCCTTTCTATGAGCAGAGAATAAGGCCTGCACTAAAACAACCAAACATCAAAACTGTCTTTCTCCCAAACTGACCGGACCACTCTACTTTGGGAGAAACCTGTCCAACAGTAATTTTGGCATTGTTGGACAAATAAAAGGTTTTATTCATTTGTTCATTATCATAGTCAACAGTGTGACATATTATGAAGGCTGAGTAATAAAGAATTCATGGGTTTCAAGTTGTGAAAAGGTCCTATCACCAGAGCAATTGAATTTTATTGAATTTTGATCATTTTAATAGTTTGCATATAGGAATGCAACGCCACTATGGTAATCTGTCAGGAGCAGTGGTCACCGCAGTGTAGCGCCCAGCGACTCATCTCCAGATGTTGATGCTCAGCCTGGTTAGCACAATCGAAGCCGGAAGATGAGTTTACCTATGGTGCTCGTTTTGGATGGTGGGAGGAACCCATCCAGAGACAGGAACAAACATGCAACACAGTGTCCAGATCTCCTCAGCCTCTGTGCATATGAACTCCAAGAAATAAATGCATTTCTTCGAGCACACAGCTGTATCTTCCCACCACATAATGTGCAGCTTATAGCCTAAATGAGGAAACGTTAAACATGCATGTGTAGACCCCAAATGTGGCTTCAGCTAACAAATAGAGCAAGTGGGAACAAAGCAGTCCCACTCCTGATTGACTCGTTTCCTTTGGTTCCCAAAATTAGCTCCAAATTCCCATCCACAGAACTGATCTTAGTTAGCTCTAATTGGGTTCTTCGACATGAAGACAAATGCTGTGGGTGACGTCGGCACTCAGTCGTCCACTCTACCGTTAGAAAAGAAGGAGTTACTCTGAACAATAGCTGCATGTTTGTAAAGGGCTTGTTTGTGATTGGAATGCATGGGTTACATGAAGCAGCGGGGATAGGAATCACCAACCAGTTTGTGACAAAAATGATAACACAGATTTCCAAAAGAAAACTTTCTGAGCTGTCAGTAGCCTACAAAAAAAACTTTCAAGATTCCAGTTTTGCGAAGGATTCCAAGTCAAGTTACACACAGGACACAAACATTCAAATATGAACTGTACACATAGGTCATCAATGCTTCACATGCCAAATCATTTTCATGATATAGATGTTTAGACCACATTTTAATTCTCAAATCTTTACAATGTTTTGGTGAGATGTGTAGTCTAACCTTTGGAGTATGCGGTGTAATTTCATACGACAGGTCTACTCAAGCTCATAATTAGACTAGCTAATAGTTTAACTATCGTGGTTATTGCACCTTTGTTTTAAATAATTGAGAGCATATTCCACAGTGATACTGTTGTGAGATAGTGATTAACATCAATGTCACAATAAATTTACAGTACTTATGAAACTAGCTTTTCTAAATAACGAGACAAGGGCTCTAAATTGCTGTAGAGGGCAATTCAAAATATCATGATTACATTGAACCTGTTGTTCGCGCAGTAAAACAAGGATAAATAGGAAAGAGAGAAAGAATTGGAGGCTGAAAAGGCGATGATGAGAGGATATGAAAAGCCCTTTTAGAAGCCATCCAGTCTGTTATTAGCAGCAGAAAGAGAGTGTGTGGGAAGGACATGCCATACGCAAAAGGAACACGCCTGTACCACTGGAAAACAACATACTATTAGTATACCGCCATGAAGTCTCCTAAATATAGCTTTTATACATGGATTGTACGAAGATAATAGAGCAGAAAACGCATAGCCTGACTCTGTTTATCATTGTCTGCTGCTTCCATTCTTCGTTTAACAACGCTGGCTGAATCGTGACCAGTTGATAAACCATTTTACGCAAAGAAATCCCAAGTAGAGGAGAGCAGTGTATGGGAAACGGATATTGATGGGAACGTTGTTTTGGAGCAATTCAACAATTTCATATCGAGTGTGTGGTTTATAGTACAAAATAACAGAAATACAAGGCAGAAAGACATTTTTAAACGCGCGCAACATGCAGGTATCCTTTCTTACATGCGACTACATTATAGACTTGCATGGTTACTTTCACGTTCAGAAGCGTTTGGAAGCACGTTTGAGCAGCACGCATGCAAAACCCCACGTTATTGTCTGATTATCGTTATAGAATAGTCAAAAAAACAAACATTGAAATTCAATCTAGTTAATATCAAGACGCCACGTTGTGCACAGACGCGAATCATATTAAAACAAGAGTAGAATGTGTAAATAAGCAGCAGCGCCAGTACTAACCTTGATCGGGGCGCCTCCTCCTTTCATCCACTTGTTATAATGGGAATGTGACAGCAGCATAGGTTCCCCCCAGATAACTTTCCAAACGCGGGGACACAAAGCGATGCACGCCGCAGCTGCAGACGCGTTCCGCCTGGCAAGCGATGTGCTCAGTCAGAGGGGGACACCGAGGTGGTGGTGGTGGGGTCGTTTTCTTGGTCTCTGTCCGGGTTTCATCGCCAAACACAACGGGGAAAAGGACGTGTCTTCGACCAGCTGTTTTTCCAAAATGGAGTTAGTCCCGTGCGGACCAATGAGAGCGCAAGGCTGGAAGCTTCGATGCTCCGCTGTGGGCAGTGGGCTGGTTCACTGCTGAAGGAATGGCCCTTTTGTGTATGTGTATGTGTGTGCGTGTATTTATGCGCGTGTATGTGTGTGTGCATGACAGTATACAAAACTTTAATTAGGAATACTCATTTGTGGATAAGCGGTTAATTTTAGCCATTCTAATAATATATATTAAAGCTGGGGTACCTTATTTTTTGCCCAACAGAAGAGTCTTGGTAAAAGTATAAAATTTTGTGACAGAATCAGAACACAAAATGCTGTTTTCTTGTTAGAAAGAGCACTGAGTCACTATCTGAAGAATTGGGATGAGAGCTGATCGGTATACTTGAATGTGTAGACTAAATTTATCACAGTTTTAAAAGTTATGTACCCCAGAGCTGATGATATGCAGATGGGCAAATAGGATAAGACATCTCATCCTTGAAGCATGGGGGGCAGCATCATGTTGTGGAGTGTTGTGCTGCGGGTGTGGGAGGGGAACTGGTTCACTCGATGACATCGAGAACAAGAAGAATCATGAGAACATTTTGAAACCACATCCCAAAATATCAGCAAGGAAGTAGAAGCTTGGTTACATATGGGTGTTTTGAATGGTCGTGGCCGCAAATGCACTTCCAAACAAAAAAGACAATGAGGTCAATGTTACAGACCTGAGTTCAATTCGATTAAACATTTGTGGGCTGATCTGAAAAGGTGGATACAAGCTTAAAAAGATGCAATAGGGTCAAGATGCTGCAGCCCTGACTTGATCCTGGAAGTACGAGCACATTAGTCCTGTGCTCAGGTCTCCGCTGAGAGAATAGACTTTAATGCAGCTCTGCTTGTACAAGTCTCTCCTTGGCCTTGCACCAAATTAGATCTGTGCGGGGATAAACCTGGATGAAAAGTACTCTGTCAATGTGTATGTTATGGGCCTTTCCTTGGACCACCCTGCGGACACATAAATATGTCAACTTCAGGTTTCAACAGTGAGTCCACCATGGGACCTACACCAACTGCTCCCACTAATGTCTGCTGTGGTTGTGTCCTTGGGCAAGACACTTAACCCCACGTTGCCTGAAGCGCCCACTGAAACAGCAGGGCTGTGGCACCACTGATGTTTCAGCCATTCTTCCTGTGGACTCACCACTTGCAGAGGTTCAGCGAGGGACTGGTGTTATGAGTATTGGGTGGCAGCTCTCCTTGTCACCCCCCGACCCAGACTGGTACTAATAAAGGGGTGGAAAATGAATGAATGAATGAAAGGTTTCAACACAGCCTTATTTGTCTTTGATGATTGGAACTGAAATGTAAATAGGGCTACATAATCTGTGAAAAGCACACAAAAGGATCCTGAGAAACAAGATTGTAAAAGCATCCCCGTTCCTGCTCTTGGGCCCCGGGCCACAGTTTGGACCCCGTATCAGGTGATTCCTTGACAGATGATCATTGACTGTTCTCCTGTTGTCCTCCTGACCAAACCCTGGAGCCGCTATGACTCGCATCATTCTGCCTGGATTTACCCTGCCCTGAGCTCCATGTGTCCTGCTCCATGACATGTGTCTATTTAACTGTTTACAGCAGGCGGGGATTACCCATGATGCAATCTGGGAGGGTCCACACTCCACACCAAATATGGAGCACGACACTGTAAAAGACACAAATCCAGGGTTGTAACAATGTACTTTTAATACATGGTTTCCATTGACGTCACGCACTACCCACAATTCCGCAGTTCGCCATCTTGCAAGTCAAGCCGCCGCTAGTTGTAGGTAAACAAAGCGCAGCATATCACTTTTTTTCCCTAAAACATGCAGACTGCCTGCATCGTTTGGGGGTGCAGTAACCGCGTAGATTGTGGGGACATTCCGAAGGTTATTACGAACCAGGGGAGCGACTCTCGACGGAGAAAAGAACCCTTTAGTTGGGAGGATCAACCGAGAGGGATTCAACCCTAACCCCCTGAAAAACGGCACTATAAGGTCTGTTCTGACCATTTCATAACAGGTAAGAGCTAAATCTGTGCATGTGTGGTTTATATTCAGAGCTGCGATTTGACTGTGATACCATGTACTGTATATATGGGCCTCAAGCGATCCCCTCTAATGAATGAGAGGGGGAGGAGGGGGGAAGGGTGGTAGACAGAAGTGATTTACGGCCTGTGATATCAACTGCTTCGTTCAAAATAAATTAATGATTGAAAGAAATATTGCATCATATACATCATGACCTTTTTTAATTGTAAAACGGTTTTGTGAAAGTAAGCCATTTCCGGCGAAGTCCACTGGTCTCGCCACATTTCCTATGGATCCAAATCTCCGATCACTCTCAATTTCTCCAAGGATCTTGCCTCACAGATTACTCCGGTGTATCAATATACTTAACGCGGTCAGCGTCGGCCGAATTCGTGGCTTTAGATGACATGAGGACAAATGATCTGTGACAAATGATACGTGCAATATAAGCTTGACTCGCAACATGGCGTTCGCGCAAAGCATCATGGGTAATAAGCACGTGATTATGGAGATTCCAAGGAGTCAAACTTTTAGAACTTCAACTACACTCGATTTGATCAGGATCTGAATATACTGTAGTCCCATTTGGTCCCATTTTATTAGATTATTCGCTTATCAATTCAATACTATGATGTCTACACCGATATCCCAAATATCAAATTCATATTGGTTATTTAAAAAAAATATTAGAATAAAAAATACCTTTTATAAAATTCAAAAACAAAGCTAGCTTATTACAAAAATGATCCTCATGCATTTTTAAACTTAAAGAAAGTAAAGATGCAATTGAATTAGACCTCTTGAGTTGCAAATAATCATATACATGTTTGCTGAACTGATGCCATTATTGGACATACAAAAAACAGTTGATGTTGAGTTAAAGTTTCTTTTCATTTATCCACAACTGTATTGGTTTCCCTGGAATGTTTGACAAAAGGACATAAACATAACAATTTCTCTATCAATATGTTGTATTGTGTAGCTCTTATGCTCGAGAATGGAGTGCTATGTTTACTTCTGTCATAAAACGTGCTCCGACACTCATTCAAGACTATCCAAAGACTCACTTATCTGGACATACCTTTTCCTTAAATCTTTGGATGTGCTTGTATTCATAACATGTCTTGTTATTGTCATGTATTTTGTTTCACAAAACCTGAGAACCTGGGTACTCCTACTTTAAAGCAACAAAAAATGAAGTCTTGGCATGTATCTAACCACTGGTGGAGCATCTGTAGCAGTTTCCTTCTATCACATTAAGGAACATCTTCAGATCAGCTTCTTCTTGGCATTTGACTTGGAAGTGATTTTGGACTGTGTACACGTGACAGTACTTTTACTTTGTCTATTCATGGTGCACGTTGTGGGTGTCTTGACCAACATTTTCCCATTGAACTCAATAGAACAACAGAATGCAAATGAGTGGGAATTATTTGGGAAGTATATACAGGATGAAAAATGTCCTGGGAAACAGCCAGATGGATCCAACAAAACAAACAGTAATTACAGCTATTTTAATCCTCTAATAGGCTGCTGTGGATGTTTACTGAAAACTGCACTGAAAAAACATGCATTCACAATTAGTTAAAACAACTTGAATTATGAATATACTGGTAGTGGTCCAAATATTGTTGTAACATAGTTGAATTATGGCAACATGCTTTTGCATTAGCTTTTATTCTGTCTTTACAATTACATTGTCATTTGTAAGTCATTTATTTAGTATTATGTATTTCTGCATAATTTTGCACACTGGGCCTCATTAAAAGGTTGGGTAATTATTTACAACTATTAGTTCGTTTTTTGAGCTTCAACATGGAGAACTTTGAAAGTGGAAAATCCTGCAGCATCAACAACACCACCTCCTGTTTCTAAAATTAGTGTTAAGTCATATGAGCCGCTTTAAGAACTCATTAGTTGGTTTACTGCCATTCTTTTTTTCTTTTTTATAATATGTAAAGTAATTGCAGAGTAATGCTTATCAATGCTGTATAACGAAGTAGTGTAACTTTAAAAGTAATTGGTAATATGTAACTAATTCAAAGTACCTAATATTGCTGATTAATCAAAACAGCTTCTGGAGGTGCAAAGTGGAAAAAGTCATGAGATGCTGATCACTTTCAATTAAGTGTAAATGAATGCAGACTGACTGATAACAATCTAATGTATAAATATTAAAATTGCAACTATAAAAGCCACGGTGGATTTGCTGATTGGATAACACAGAGCACAGGTTATGTGATCGCTTCAACTCTTTTTTAACTTCATACATTGTTAACGACCATATCAAATGCTTACAAACGTGTAACAAAGTGGACAGAGACAGTTGAATAATAGAACAGCTTTCTTTACCGTCATTGGCGAACATAGTGTAGCTTATTGTAACATGCTTGTCTTAAAAAAATAATAAGACAATAATAAAACACATTATTGCACATCTTCACATGGCCTGTTTGACAATTTGGCAAAACACACACTTCTATAGCAATCATAAATGGAATACTTGAATTCACCTCCCGAGGTTATGACTGTTGTCATATTATTATTAATATTTGATCAAGGCAACTTGAAGCACCCAGCATATTTGTTGAAATAAACATACTTGTTAAACCCTTCAACCTAATATTTGCCAAAAGGGAAGATACAATTATTGATGTTAACGAAGATAAAGACTGTTCAAAACAACTTTTGCATTTGTTAGGGTGCATTTCACACAAACAAATTAAATAAACAGCAGTAATGTTTGAATGCAAGTGGCATTTGTCAAGTTTGAACAAAAACAATGCATGAATATTTATTTACGTTTACCCAAAATACACTAAATTAACGGTATGCTAAATCTTGGCAAATGTTTGCACAAATGGTAGTCCTTGACAACACTAGGATTCAATTATTTCTAGGAAAAAATTAAAAGAAGAAAAATAATCTTAAGGAATACAAAAATAAAACAATACTAAGGCATTCAAATAAAATAAGATCTAACGACGGTCACACATCGTAAATAAAGGCCCTTGAACTTGGCCTTGAAGAGGTGTAGGGCTGGATACCAACAAGAATGTAATACAAAAACTGTTTAAGCAAATTCATGTAACTTTTTGGAGGTGAAACATGAGCTGGATTGGCAGGATTCAATAAAGGCTAAAATCATAGTGTGGACGTTCTATGCATACGTGGATGAATCTCACGTGACCACCACAGTGACACTGCATCACTGTGGTGTTGGGGCCCTCTTCTGGCCACAAAGATAACTGCCGCTAATAAAAAAACTAAAGTTTGCCGAGGCATTGTAAGCAGTGTGTACAATAATAATAATGCTTTGGTACAACATAGCAAACGCAAATACGTTTAAGGCAATTGATTAACACAAATATAAAATGTACGCGGCTGGACGGAATAAAAAAGTAAAAATAAGACAAAACATTAAATGAGCAAAAACAATATTATCCTAAATTTGACTCTGCAACTGAATAATGTACATTTTACATTCCTATTAAAACAAATGATGTAATATGTTGGCCTTATAAACATATAAATACATACCAATGATTAAAATGAATGTGTTAGAATGACTTGAACTGCAAAGTTTGGAGTAGTATTGACCTTATAAACTGGGAAATAAAGATTACTCAAACATGCAGAAAACTGTATAGGGCAGTGGCTCTCAAAGTGTGGGCTGGACCCTCAGGTGGGAGTGAGATAATATAGGATTTATAGGAAATTACTACAAAAACACAAATAAAATATATTTAGCATAATACAATGCGTTGTAAACAACAGTGTGGGTAAGATGATTTAATGCATATTTATGGGTTTCTCTGACTTAAAGGTTTGAGGAACCCTGGCTTAGGTACATATAAAATAATTGTTTTGCCTTCAAATTTTAAGATCTCTTTAAGAGTGAGTGATGCATGCTTGAGTAATCATTAATCTCCTGAATCAAAGACTTTCTTCATGCACTTTCTTATCCATGCTTTTGTCTCCAGTAAGTAAACAGCTGTAACTGCTCACAGGTCTGTCCAAACGAGCTGTAGAACAGCTGCAGTATATTCAAAACGCTGCAGCTTGAGTCCTGACTAGAACCAGGAAGTATGATCGTGTTACTACAGTTCTGAGGTCTCTGCACCGGCTTCCTGTGGCTCAGAGAATAGTCTTAGGGGCAGCTCTGCTTGTGCACAAGTCCCTCCATGTCCTCGTACCAAAATACATCCGTGACATGTCATATTTATGCTGATAAAATCTGAAACAGTCTTCCTGAAAATGTGAGACAGGCTTCTACTCTGATTAGATCAAGTTAGTTCTGTTTAGCAGGGTTAGGGTTTGGTTCTCTTCTCTTCGCTCTTCTTTTAAAATGTATTATGTTAAATGCTGATGTTAATATTTCTCTTCTTGTTTGGTAAAGCACTTTGAGTTTCCTTGTCTGCGAAATGTTCAACACAAATAAACATTGTGTGTTCAATGATTTTTGACATGTAAATAGCCAGCGCAAATTGATATGACGGTTTTGGAAACCAGACCTTTTCTCAAATTGCATAAATCGGTTTTTCCTATAGACACAACATAAAACTACTCACATCAACTACACTTCAGAGCTCATGTCATTCTCACACCACAGCCTCTCACTCCTGTGCGTCAGTAGCAGTAGTAGAGTTGCGACCGCAGAGCCCTGAAGCCGTCTTCCTCTGTTCCATCTCCGTCATACAGCAGAGAATCTGGCAGCGCAGCGCCCTCCAGTGGATGCGGCTGACAGAACTCCACGATGAACTCCTCCTCTGAGCGCAGCAGGAGTGCAGCCCAAGCGCTCAGGTCCAGGTCTGCAGCTGTGCCTCCGTACACCGGGGGCAGCACTGAGCCAGGAACATGAGAGTGCAGCGAACGCAGGTCTGAACCGTGCAGAACGTACTGAGATTTAAAAAAATAAAGAGGATATTTGTACAAACCGGAAAGTTATTATTAATATAACATTAGTAGAAAATATAGTGCATGTTTAAGGAATGGATCTAAAATAATACCGGGATGGAGTAACGTTAGAATGACCTTTTTTTTCCTTTTTGAAATCCATTGGTTTTATAAAATCCATACTTTAGTGCAACAAACTTGTCCTGCTCTAGTACACATCGATTATTCTTCTTCAATTCATTGTCCCCAGTAAAGGCACAGTGAGGCCCTCCAGTCAGTATATGTCCAGGGAGGACCAGAGCGAGATAAATTCCTGGTCTTCCACACAAATTCACAGACAGTTCGTTACTCACCCTCTCTGCCATCTTCTCTTTCAGAAAAGGTTTAATTATGGCAAATATTCCTTTAAAAATTCTGGGTTCATTGATGATGTTAACAGCTTTGATTCTGATCGGAAACCCGTCCTGTGAATCATGAGAAGACTTATGTTAGGATTCAGTCTAACGACGACAAATGTTAATTACCATGATAGTGGACAGTCAACAGTATCAATAGGAAATTATTTTTGTTATGTTATGTATTATTAAGTAAACATATAAGTTACTGAATTAGTCTTCTCTCTGACCTGTAGGATGCTGACAACCTTCTTGGCAAGGAAAGGCCCAGGGTTTGAGGCCTGAGACATCCCGACTCCGCTGTAGTCTGCCAGGATCACAATGCCATTCACCTGCACCACCTCCGGCTGGATCAGCTTCTCCAGGGTCAGGTACAAAGCGCGAACATTGTCCACAAATGGGTAATCATTGGGCTTCCACCTGCCTGCAGATAAATGGAATTTATTCAATGGGTAAACATTCACATAATGAATATGAGATTCAATAGTTCCATTAAAGCTCAATAGACTTTCCAAAAGCAGTATTGGACACACAAAAGACCTGGAAGATACACATAATTATCAAGAGAAGACTTTCACCAGAGTGAATACAGAAAATAACCTGCAAAACAGAATGAACACAGTAGAGCTTGCAAAACAAGTTTCAGGTCTTGAACAAAATCCTATGGACAGTTTCACCCTTTGCTTGTGAAGCATGACAAATGTAGACAGGAACCAGATCAGGTTCTGGACTTAGTTCTGAAGTATCCAAGTCTTCCAGAACAAGAGGTGGGAACACACCCTGAGCCTCTAAAGTTACTTACACCACCGCAGACTTTTAATGATAGCCACAGATGCCACTGTGCAGCCTGGCAGAAGTGAGAGACGCACACATGCACATGCGCACGCACACACTTTAAAATAAATGGCACTATTGAAAGACATTTAGACCTGGTCTGAGGCAGAGGATGTATCGACCGTGTGGATCCGGTCGTGGCAGCACAGTGAGGAAGCCCAGATCCAGAACATGTTTCACCGACGATGGCTTCAGGTCACTAAAGACCTCGGGCCAGGCTCTCCTGCCGCCGTGATACTTCAGCAGCAGCTGCAGCGCACGGTCATAGTCAAACTTACGCGCTCGCAGGAAACGCAAGAGGAACGCATCATCAAGCCGTGTATGGAGGTTTGGCTGCTCCTATACAGAAGACATGGACAGAGGAAGGAGTGCTGTTAAAAAATCACTAAAGGGCACCTTTACATTGAATGATTTATCTTTTATTCCAATTTTGTGGCTGGAGATGCACATTGGCAGCCTCACTTCTTTAGTCTAACACTTTGTGTGTCATGGAAGGCCATATAAAAATGGGTATGAGTTGTATGAAATAATTGAAACCTTGAGGATCATGTCCCTCAGTGCTTGGACGTCGCGCAGCCTCCACTCGGGCTTTTCCTGCAGCTCATCACGTGCTTTGGCCTCCAGCGCTGGGCTCAGAGTGCAGGTGTAAAGTGGAGGAGGAGGACCAGGGAACCAGCTCTCCTCAGGACCCAACAAATGTGAGTGCACATCCAGGGACTCATAATCCGCCATGGACTGATGAAACAGACATATGATCTTATAGGCACTTATGATATTTAGGACAGTTTTGAAATTTTGCTTAACATTTATTGTGGTTTTCTATCAGGACCCGGTTTATGACATACCGTATAAAAGACATGAATAGGTAGGTAGTAATGCCGTTACAAAATGTATTACTTTTTGTTATCACGGTTATATGGTCATTACAACAAAACTTAATCCAAAAAGCAAATTTGGCATACATTTTGTTAATTACTGTTTTAACTGTTATAAGCAGCGCAGAAATATAGTATGCAGCCAGCCTTTCTCCATTGTGAGATAATAAAGTCAATCTCATCTCATCTCTCTCTCTCTCTCATCTCAATTAACAATGTAACAATGTAATTGCCGTTATTAAACATACCCTAATATACATTTGGGGTTTTGAAAACCTTTTACGTTGTGTCGTCTTAAACTTAAAGCATGCACTGCATCGTTCTGTAACGTAATGATAAAAGATAATATGGACTTGATTTTCCATCGTTGGCCAGGCAAAATTAGTTTGATTGTTTTTAAGATAATACACAAAGCATGGTGTGCATGTATAAGCTCGTTATCATATCACAATGATTGAAATAAAGAGTGTTTCAGAGAGAAAAATGTGATGCGTCAAAAATATGAACGATTTCTCGATCAAATACAATCAAATGGCTTGAAGTTCAGAACAAATATTAATATTAAACATGATTTCTTATTCAGAGCCATACATGCGCAAACTAAGTCAGTAAATTGGTCAAAAATGAAGATGTAAAAATGAAAACCGACCTGTGAAAGGATGGGTTAATCGCTTCCGTGTTGTGGCAGAAAAGCCTCGTGATTGGTCAAAGTGAAACGCTTTAAGACAATATTTTCCCCAACACAATGTGTCAAGGCAGTTTAAAGCGTCACCGATTTGTTTTAATACTGACAGTATTGTTTTGCGATTGGGTTTAGTCAAGCTTGGGGGTTCATAGAATTTTGTCAAATTTTATTTAGTTGATTTGAGATCTTTCGTACTGATTTGTTCTGTGATTAAATAGGTCCGTGCAAGGTAAAAAAAAAAACACAGGCGCTGAGGTGGGTAGCTCTGAGGTAAAGCTAAAAACAGTTTGTAGACATCTGCACCGTGAGCACCGTCCACTTCAAACATGGATTCTTCAGGCCAAACTATTTTGGTCGTGGTGACTTGGCGGCTGAATGCATTTGCGGAAACGATGTTTGCGATATTTGTAACGATAGCGAAGTATAACGATAGCGAAGTATGAGGATAGACCAAGGTTGGACTAACGGGAGTGCATCCTGTGTCGGACACCTTGGGCTGCATTATTATCCCTAGTCACACTCACTGGTCTCCCTAATCACTGTCTCGTGGAGGAACAAGCACCATGGATCTATGTGGCTCGCGCTCCTGACTCTTCACTGGACTCAGACTTAAATTTTAATAGCCACATTAAATCAGTAACATCAGCAGCTTTTTACCACCTAAAAAACATTGCCAGGATCAAAAACATAGTGTCTAAAGCAGACCTGGAGATTCTAAAACAGCTGCAGTACATTCAAAATGCAGCAGCTCGAGTCCTGACAAGAACCAGGAAGTATGACCACATTAGTCCAGTTCTCAGGTCTCTGCACTGGCTTCCTGTGGCTCAGAGAATAGACTTTAAAACAGCTGTGCTTGTGTACAAGTCTCTCCATGGCCTAGCACCAAAATATATTAGTGACATGTTAGTCCCATATGAACCAGCCCGGACTCTGAGGCGCACAGGGACTGGACTCCTGTTAGTCCCCAGAGTCAGAACTAAACATGGGGAGGCTGCTTTTCAGATTCATTCTGCTAAAATCTGGAACAATCTTCCTGAAGATGTGAGACAGGCCTCCTCTCTGACAATGTTTAAAACCAGGTTAAAAACAGTTCTGTTTAGCTGTGCATACAACTGAGGGATTTTATATTTTCATCTTTCTTTTTGATGTACTGTGATTATTTATGATTTTAATGCTTTCTTGTTTTGTTCAGCACTTTGAGCCTTGCCTTCATGTTAAGGCTAAATTCTGCCAGAGGAGGGCGCTGTGCACTCATTGTTTTGAGGGGATGACTGGTTAATATTTACAGTCTATGGTTATGACTGATGAGCTGGTAATTCTAATAATGCCCATGTTTACCAAACTAAGGTGGAGGAACATCATAAAATAAAATGTGTAATTGTAGAAAGCTATTTTATACAAATGAAATGTTTTTACAGACATGGTCCATCTCTGTAAAAACAGGATGCTGTGATGTCATCACTTGCAGACTATATACCTTCTGTACATTTCAGATTTTCTCTATTGATGTAAGATGATGGTGACCACCAAAATGATCAAAATGTTAATTTAATTACAGTCTATGGTTGATGTATTGAAAAGCCATTATGCACTGTCATCTTTGATCAATATTGATGCCTCGCCATACAAAGACACATTTAGTAAAAATCCAGACCACCTTTAACTTTTGAAGTTATGTTGCTAACACATGTCCTCACATGTAATCACAACTCCTCGGCCAGATCAAAATAAATTGAGAGCTCTTTTGTTGCTGCAGTAATTGCTTAGTAATTGCTTAGTTGAACTCTGGTTTCTGATAGGACAGTTTCAATTTCACCACTTTGCAAAAGTGACACTTGGAAAATTTCCTAGTGTAAAACTATATTTAATATAGCTTAACGACTGGACCACAGGACATATAACTGGAGCAGCCATCTTCCTGTGGACCCACCACCCGCAGAGGATCAGTGAGGGACTGGTGCTATGAGCACCGGGTGGCAGCTCTAATTGTGGCCTTTGTAAATGCAAAATATCTTGTTTGATTTGTAAATCCTACCAATCCTACTTATTTTAGCGTTAGTTAATTGAAAATTATTTCTGGGATCCTTGGTGCTTAAATCTGTTGGAATTATCAGTGATAATTCATACTAGCTGCAACACTGAGTCAAAGACCTCAAATATTTTGGATAAATGGACAAATAAGCTGATTTCAGTCCATCTCCACCAGAGAATTTAGAGCAAATACCGTCTGCTCTAATCCAGACAATAATAAAATTTTCATGAAGACAATCAGGGGGTTATTTTGCTTCTTATGTCCCTCACACTAACAACAGCCTGCTATAAAAGGCTGGAACCAGTTTTTCTTAGTGCACATTCTAGTTTGTTTCTATTGTGATTTTATGACATTTTATCAGTTCTGAAGCAATGCAGCGCTATCAGTGCCACGGTGGAAACACGGCTTATCTGATTCACAGTCTTCTGATATCAGAAACTGTCCACTACTGCTCATAAATGGACTGAAAAATTATTATCGTTGTACAAGAGTTTTCATTGTATATGAACTTCTAAACTAAGTTACAAACGGTGTGCATTTCAGAATAGGCCTAAACTACAGAGTTAGCAGGGCGGACTTGAAATAACCATTTGTTTGCAGTTTAACCTGGGATCTGTTTTCTGTAAAATGAAGACTGAAAAGATTTCCAACATCACAAAATACACCTCCAAAAATGTAAAAATAACAGTTTTATTACATTGACTTCACATTGTTTGTAAGGCAGTTTTCAAGACACAACCAAAAAAGAAACAAAAATATATCTGTTCAAAACCATTTTTTCCACAAGGATAATATAATTCTATACAAGTTCTCACAAAGTGGCAGTTACTAATTCTCATGTAACAATTTAATGCATTGATGGCTTAGAAGAAGATGTCTAATTTTTGCATTAAAATTGACATTGTCCACAAGTCATAGAATTTACAACATAGAGCAGTTATGAACTCCTGCACAGAGTATATTTAAAATGGCAGATTTCCCATCAGGCAGTGGGGATGTAACTATATAGAACTTTTTCATAAATATTAAGTACGTAAGAGTTTATTTGATTGACGCTAAAACACAGTCTGCTTTACATTTCTCTGATCAAAACATTCTAAAACCTGTGCATTTAGCAAGTACTGTCTATGGTTACTTTTCCTCCTCGTTCTTACTTTGTTTGTACAGAGCCAGTCGCTGTATAAAGGATGTGAGCAGTGATACAGGAGCCATTGTGCACAGATTATGTTACTGTAATAATGCATTGTTGTAGGTTTGGGGCGACTTTCCATACACTGGTAAAAGGGCAGTTGTAACATGAAATCAAAACACACAAAAAACTTCATGTCGAAATGGCCCCACACAAAATTATGTACAAAATAGATAATTATCAAAAAATATGTAGTGTCTCTGGACATCAACATCATCAATTAAAAATGTTTGGAAATGCCTGGACACATTTCCAGTCAAAACAGAACGAACAATTCAAATTGAGGATTTTGTTGACATTTCTTAACGTCTTAATACTACCACAAAATACTGTACTGACTGAAACATTGCAATAGACTTATTTATGTCCTTGTAAATCTGACATGTTCATTTCTCGTGTAGAAAAAAACTTTTGATTTATTCAATTGTGAAATTGTTATTAATTATAATTTTTATTACTGGTATAAAAACCATTTAATGCTTTTTCAAAGAAATATCAACAAAATATGTGGCCGTTTTTTTACCAGCATGAACCAATGTATTGTGTATAAGGTACTTGGTTTCTGTCATTTGGCATTCAGCCATCTTGTGAGTTGAAAGCAAAACTAATAGAAAATTGCTTAAATGGACATAATGGTATATTATTTATACCAGTATCAATACCCACTAGTGTTTTGTAAAGTCCAGTTAAGGTCCTGACCAAGCCAAGCATCAACAGGAGGTAGGTCTCTGTTCTAGTGGCGTTGGAAGGATGGGTCAAATACAGAAAACAGCGTTCCCTACAACCATAATGACTAAGCATTATTTACTTTGCACCTTATAATATAAAAGATAAATGTATTGCCTAAACTTAAAAAACGTTTTAATGGTATATCAATACAATCAGTATATCTCATTGTTACTCATGTGATTAAACATCACAAACATGATGCTGGAAGTGATACTGTTGTTTTGCCTTTCGAGGATTTCTCTGGTACCTGTATTTAGGACATTGGGTTGAACTATGACAGTCTTTAAGGCAGCAGTGGTACTAGTAGTACTAGTTCAGATGGCCTCTTGTTTGGTGATGGTGGACTGTGGGATGGAGGTTCCCTGTTTGGGAACCGTTGCTATGACGCCAGGAGCCATTTTGAAGAGTTCTGAGCTGGAGGTGGTGGGAGGAGACGGGATCGGGGTTTCTGGAGTGGCTATGATAAAAGAAACACACTTTCAATAGACCATATGGACACAACTACTATAACATGACAAATATTATGCTGAGGGATAATTAACATTACTATGGGGAACTATAAAACTTGGGTACCTTCCTTTCTCTCATAATAACACATGTTTTTTAGCCAAACAGAAAAAATCTTTGAAGTAAAATGTGAACAAATCAGACCACAACATGCTGTCGTCGTCTCAAAAAAAGAGCTCTGGGAATCTCAAGTTAAAACTTTGGGCTGGATCTGATTGGCTGAAATGTTTTAAAATGTTCTGTCTGAACAAAAGAAGTGACAGGGCAAAAATACATATATATGAAAACTAGCAATAGAAATTACAATATTTTTGTGGTTTTAAAGTTTGGCACCCCAGCATTAATAGACAAAATACTATAAGTGAAAGGCCAACTTTTACTAAATTAATCAATGTAACCTTTGGGTACCATGGTACCCACATAACTGTATGTTGCTGTAAAATAAACAAGATTAGACAGCCCTGTGTGCTATAGAGCATTAGTACAGTAAACACTCTAACCCGCTATGGTAAACTCAGGTGCAGAATAAGCACTTTTGTGACATATTTGTGAGAATTAAACATGTCAGGCCCGAATAACGGCTTTCTTTGACAAAATAATCCAGATTAGGACAGAAAACTTGAGCGGATTACCTCGGAGATCAGCTACTGACTCTGTGCACACGAGGCCACAAAAAAGGTCAGGTTCTTGTAACTTTCTGATAGTTCATCTACATACACCATAGTCACTGTCAGTGGACCTGTATTCCTTATTGTTAGTAAACATGTTTGTAATGTATGTTTTATCAAAGACATTTTAATACCACTGCAAACTTTCAAAAGTCCTCCAAGATGACTACTGTTATTTAGCCTCAGCCCTGCATGGCATGGCCTCTGTCCTCGTTCTACAGCCTGAGTCCTGGTTCTATAGCCCATCCATCCATGGGAGCGGTTCTCCTTCCCCGGGGACACTCATTTTCTCCCACTGGGTTTTTAGAGTGTTGCTTTGCAGATGCAGGAGGGTCCAAGGACAGTGGTGATGATCCAAGACACTCGTCATTGAATGACATTTTTGGACCTTATCAACATATGGACATTGGTCATCTGCCCCTTACAGTATGGCTCAGTGGTCCTATGTGTTTTTTTAATCATTAAATTTCCTGTGTTTGAACTGTTCGATTCTCTGATCTGTGTTGGCGAATTTGACAGTTTTGTAAAGTTTTCCGAGATAACTACTGTTGTGATTTGGGGCTATACAGGAATAGATTAAATTGAACTGAATTGGATTTAGGGCTGTACAAAACAAATTGAGTTGATTTGAACTGAATTTTATTATCGGGTGCTATCGGGCCCATCTCTCTCTCTCGCATTCCCTCACTGACCATGTAGTGCCTCTCTTTCCCCTTGTGCTCATGCAGCGAGGACTCACAGATGTGTGCGTTGTGGAGGGCAGTGGGCACGGAGCTCACGATCACGTTGGTGCTGAGGTGTTCCTGGACCAGGTGAGGGTGCAGAGAGTGAGGGGCGTGTGTGGCTTCAGACGCTGATCCTGCAACGAACAACGCACATGAGCGGTGAGCGGGGACGAGAAACTGCAAACTGACCTCCAGAAGAAATATGTTAACTGTAGGTTTCCAGAAAAGATCACATTCAAAGATATATTCTATTTTTGTCTGCTATATGTCTGCTAATTACGTAAGGGATAATGTATTGGGTCATTATTGGAAAATAAGCACCAACAGGGCCGAGCGGACCCCTGAAGTTGCTAGCCTGACTGTTACTCGCCTGCCAAGGGAACGTTTTGAAATTACATTATCGATGGAGCGTTCTGCTGCTGCTGTGAGGAGCCGTGTAATAAATAGTTATAATCTAGGAGACCCATGGATCATATTACATTTGATCTACATCTAAAACAATGAAACAAGAGCTGGTGATTCATTCTGTATATTCCTGTCAATGCAAAGAAACTATAAAGTTATTAAAGTTCTGGGGAAGTCTGTGCAATGTCGTTTGAATATCATTCTTTCTGTTCATTTGCTTCTATAATTAAAGTTCAACTGTGAAACCAATGTATGATATAGACCTGTTACTGTACATGCAGAGGGACATATGTCAAGCCTTTTTAGTAATAATTTTGTTGATATTGGCTTAGAGTCCATTTTTCAAAATATTAAAATTCCCTGAGACGTTTTACTTGGGGTTTTTACGAGCTGTGAGCCAATTATCAATCATTATAGCAAACCAGTCATATATTAGTTTTACATTACTGGTTGAATTACCAAAGTAAATGTACAATATTCGCATTTCACCTGTTTATATTCCTTCAACATTTATGAATCACAGTAAAAACAAATACCACAGAAAGGATTGGCAGTATGTTTGACCTTTATGCATATACCAGGTCAACAAATCAAAGTCAGCACCTATTTTAATATCATTCCAACGTCATTTTCAGACCTGTCTCCACCTCAGTTTGAAATGAAGACCTGACCAACCCCTGCAGCCCCTATTCCTCTGGCCTCACCTCCCAGCAGCATCTCTTGCAGCAGGTTGTCGATCTTGACCATCCCAAAGAGCTTGACGAACTGAATCTGCTCTATCATCTGCCATGTGATGCTCTGGAGCGTGGGCAGCAGCAGCAGCAGCTCCCCGAAGCGCCCCCTGCTGTCGTACTGCCGGTCATTGATGTAGTCCTCCAAGCTGACCTGTACCTGGTACCTCATGCGCTTGATCTTTCCCAGGTCACTGAGGCCCTTGGCGTCTGCAAACACAGCCACTGTTTACACGTGATAAGGTCTGCGTGGAGGGGATGTGGGGATAATGTCACAAGCATGACAGTTACAAGTATTGGTTTGGGGTCGCTGTTTTGATCGGAGTTGTCATTTCCAGTCAGGATTCAGTTCAAAGTGCACATTTCTAACAACATCATGGAGCGTTTACTTGAGAGAACATTAAAATATGAACTTCTGAGCACACAGTAAAAACCTGATTCGGACAATGAGTTCAACAACATTTATGAACATTTATGGAGATTGGTCATCTGCCCCTTATGGACCAATGGCTCTATGTGTTTTTTTATTGTTGCATTTCTTGTGTTTGAACTGTTTGATTCTCTGATCTTTGTTGGCAAATTCAACGGTTTTGTCCTCGGAGATAACTGCTGTTGTTATTTAGGGCTATACAAGAATGAATTGAATTGAATGGAGTTTATATGTGCTGTACTGTATTTTGAATACAATACATTTCATGGCACATTCCTTTAATTTGGGACTTATTTATTGTCCAGTTTAAAGCTCTTGATTGAAAAGTGAAACATTAAATCTAGTCTCCACTTGAATGCATGTGTAAAAGATCTATTTTCAAAGGTTTCTGGCTTGGAAGACTCTTTGTGACCATTTATGAATGATGAAAACTAGGTGAAAATACATTAGAAATCCTACACAAACATTGTGTAGAATGATTCTAGTGTGTGTGTGAGAAGAGGTGATGGTTCTGGCACAAAAAGTCTTGTCTACCTCAGTCTGCCTCAGGGCAGCTGTAGCTACATGACATTTAGCCCCAGTGTGCATGGAGGGAATAGTGCTAGCAAAGTTGTTACACAAAACATCTTTACAACTATGAAAAGTGTTGAATAAATAAAGACGATGAACTTTTTTGATAATTGTTAATACAGAAAAAAGGCACTAAGTATAGGGAATTGGTGCATGGTGCAATTGTGCTTTACAGCAAGAAGGTCCTGGGGTTGATTCCACCTCCAGGCCTTTCTGTGCGGAGTTTGCATGTTCTTCTCGTTTCTGTGTAGGTTACCTCCGGTTTCCCTACCACTAAAACCATGTACAATAGGTCTGGCATGCGCCTCCTGGCGACCTCACTCCCTCCTCTGGGTGGAGTAAGAGGACAAATGCCCAGTTGTAAAGCACTTTGTGACTCAGTGAAAGGCGCTATATCATCATCAGCAAACTTTTATTACAGACTCATGGTCCTTTTTGTTTTTATTATTTAGCAACACATCTCAGTTATTTAATGTGTGTGAGGAACTTCAGTCCTGGTCTGCTCATAAAGATGTATTTGGTTTGTTTCAGTCATTGATACAGAAGATGTCACCTTGCCATGCCCACCTGGGTCGAAGAAGACGATGGCTTTGAGGCAGGCGAACTCGTTGTCGTCGATCTGCAGCTCCTGAAAAGGGAGCACCAGCTCGTCCAGGATCCTCACCGCCACACGGCCCACCTCCAGCTCCGGACTGTTCCGAGGGATGATGTGGTCGTTCCCTATAACACCATCCATTAGTCTAATGAAGCAACCTCTAATCCTTTTACCAGATATTTTGCCTCCAACTATCACTGCATCTAAATATTTGTATGTTTACAAACGTATTTTTGGCACATACACGTGACTAAAATATGGATGGTAGGCAGAAAAGAAGTTGGGAACGACTGCACGATGCATCAAATACAACCAATAATTGTGATATCACACTGTAGCCCAATAGAGATTATTCTGAGATTATAGGGATTAAGGTATCAACTTGTGGCACGGCAGGTTATCAGGTAAATCCATGGCCTTTTGTCTCAACTTTTAGAAATAGTTTTTGCTGATATTTCTATGGAAAAGTTACAGAACTTGCAGCAATCATGAAGGATTACCACGCAGTCCTAACAATTATCTTTTGATGATTATTACTTACCTAAGAGTAGAATGTCTTTGTAGAGCATGGATCTCTTGGCTGCTCCAAGCAGCAGATGTTCTCCTGCGTGTGCTCTCAGCAGAGCCACCTGAAACATTCCACAGAGGTTCACTTATTGGATACATTTATTTATTATTATTGGTTACTTTTTTTTGCTAAATTAGGATACTTTTATGCATAGTCAAATGTTCACATCTGTTGAAAGAGGGGTTTTGAAAAAGTTAAAGTTGTATAAAAGTAGACAGCTGCATGCAGCCAAAGGATTCTACCTATTGTAGAAAACCAGCTTTTATTATGCATCTATAGATGTAAAATTGAAATGTTAAAACTGAGAAAGCTTAATCAGAAGCATCAGCAAATCAGTGACCACGTCCCGGTGACAGAACTGTTAATGATTCAGAGACTTTAGACTTTAAAACTAAACCACCATATTCTGAGGATTAAAAATACATTAACTAAACTAGTGAGTATAGAATCTGTGCAGAGTGGACGCCACCTGTGCAGAAAAAAACATCCTTTTTGCTGCATAATCTATCTCCGAGTGGAGTAACCATGCTTCCCCTGACATGGGGGTCCACAGCACTAATTTAATATTCCACAAACAGCTTTTATATATTTGAGACAGTAACTGTTCTTGTTGTAGATTTGTTCAATTGTTATTGTTACTACTAATACTACTATACTAATTATAATAATATGTTACTTGTGTATTCAGTGTTGTATTGCATTCCTTTATTTCTCACACACAGTGGTCATACATCACTACTGTAGTCACAATGAACGAGGCTGTCAATCTCTGCCATCATCACCAGATTCATACAAGGCAACAGAGGTGTAGTGTCTTGCTTAAGGGCAGATTTACAGTAATTAAGGTCACAGCGCCCCACAGTGGCTCCTAGTATTATAGTGGTCTCCCATCTCTGTCCTGACCAGGCCCAGATCTGTTTCAGGCTTTCCAGTGTGATGGTGAGTGTGCCCTGACCTGGTCATCAAGTGGAAGGTCGCAGAAAGCTGGAATGTACTTGGCCCACTCCACCAGCACCAGCAGCTGCTGCTTCATGGACTCGCACACGTCTGAGATGGACGCCAGCTTCTTCGTCCTGATGTCCCCACTGAGGATGGGGGACGGGGACGTGATCTGTGCAGAACAGGAAACACCTGTGTGTTATATTTATGTGTGTGTTGTGCCTTAGAGTGTGTGAGTGTGTGTGGTGCAGAGCCTCACCTGTCTGGAGAGCACGTCAGCCTGGATCAGTGCGTTGATGGAGGGTAAACTGCTGTCCTCATAACTGGACCTGCGCGTGCTGATGCGGTCTCTCTCATTCTGAACAGCTGCAACAAACACACATGCGACTGTAGGATGGTTTTAGAGCAGGCTTCACATCCATGAAGCCTGCTCAGACTGCTGCCTCTTTGTTACACAGTCCTGAGCGAGAAAAAAATGGATGGGGTGGATTTATTGTTATCCGAATTGTTTATTGTTGCACAAACCGAAAGTGCAATGGCCATAAGTCTTCTCAGATTATCGCAACAGTTAAACTGTACATTTCTCTCTGTGAAAAGCTCTTTAGAGGTGAGGAATGTGCTTGGACAGGTTTACTTTATAGAGCGCTTTTGGGGACACAGGTGCTTCACATGGCATTATTTTTTCACTCCAAAATATCACACAAATCTTGTTTCACAGGCTATTTCCTTAGGATTTTGAAATAACTTCTGGATGTTGGTTAGAACATAACTATGTTTTTTCCCCCAATTATTACATTGTTAAGAGCCAATTTTCCATAATATTATTTTTTGTTTCTTTTCTGTGTTGCAACATCATAGTGGAGCCTTGTTAATGTTCTGTGAGTAAAACCAGGGCTGAACAAACACTTGGAGCACAAACCACCATAAACGTGACAAACTCAGGGACAGTTTTCTTGTAGATTACCTGAAGGCGATCTGTCCAATGACTTCCTGTTAAATAGCTGATGGCGTTTACATTGTCATCACTTTGTCCTGGGATAGAAGTGCTGGCTCCATGAGAGCCCCAGACTCTCTTATTCATGACATGTGACTCTCATTCGGTTTGCCTGATTCAATGCTGAATTTAATTGGTTTAAATTGACTCATCACTACCTAACCCCAGCACATGACCCTGTGTTTAGTGCAGCCTCAGCAGCAGCGACTTGCATCAAGTGTCCTCTATCTGCAGGTTGAGACGCTGAAAAGCTTTAGCTGTAATTTTTAGTAACTTACTACTACCTTCTCTTTTGTTTTCATCTTCCTAAATCTTCTAATTCATTACAGATATTGACAGCTTACCTTCTTTTTTCATTCCAGCTCTGAAGCATTTCTTGAGTCTACAGTATCTGCACTGGTTCCTCTTGTCTTTGTCCACAATGCACTGTCTGTTGAACCTGGAAGGAATAAATGGATTTCAAAAGTAAGTAAGTAGTAAGTAAGCTTTATTTATATACCGCCTTTCACAAACCAGAGTCACAAAGCGGTTTACAATTGTTATTTTTTGAGCATTTGTCTCTCACTCCACACAGAGATGGGAGCGGGGTCGCCGAACAGGAGGCGCATGCCAGACCTATTGTACATATTTTTAGTGGTAGGGGAAACCGAAGTACCCGGAGGAAACCTACGCAGACACGGGGAGAACATGCAAACTCCACTCAGAAAGGCCCTGATCCGGCCGAGATTCGAACCCAGGACCTTCTTGCTGAGAGGCGAGAGTGCTATCCACTCAGCCACCGTGCCGCAAAACCATGTAGAAATATACCAGTAATATTTGTGACATGATATGGAACAATGTTATCACCAACCATTGCCTTATTGAAAACATCTTAGTCGTTAGTAGTGTGTATGTAAGCTCTCCTCACAGTGACTTATTATTTATCACTGTGTCGTTTTTGCAGTGTTTTGCTGTTTTGAAATACGTTTTTTTTTTTTTTGCAATGCAATTTTTAACCGACCCTTGAGTAGGGTCGTTTAAAAAAATTTGTTCCTAACATTAACATTTGTTTGGGAATGTGTAATGAATATGTTTGATGAAATAATAAGTCCATTCTCAGGTCGTTCAGAGAGTTTTTCTCTTTGATTTGTGTATTTTTGTCAGCTTGCTTAGTCTAAGGGATAAGTAAGCGTTGACAATTAGGAGAGATCAGTTTGCAAACCTCTTTAAAAGTAAAACATGTCAATAGTTTGCTGTCTGTCCAGTACTTTGTAAAAAAAAAAAGTGCACTCACTGACAATGGTGTCAGCGCAATCCTCCAATTGATTGGAGGATTGGTTACTGCATTGGTTTTAGTCATTCATTTAATTGTTATTTCCCTATGGCATAAGCATGTGTGTAACAAGAAGCTGAATATACCTGCAAGAGTACATGTGGTTCTTGCGGACGCTGCGTCTGAAAAAGCCTTTACAGCCGTCACAGCTGGAGGCCCCGTAGTGTTTGCCTGTGGCCCGGTCTCCACAGATGGCACACAGGCTTCCGGCCGCCAGGTGCCCCCCGCCCCCACTCATGGCGGAGCTCTCCGTGGGGGACGCATCTGCAACAGGGAAGGTTTTTCATATTAGAGCTACTGCAGTTTAATATCAGTTTTCTGCACAAACAAAACACTCTGTGTTGACTGTCCGACCTGTTACATTATAGACAGAGCTGCAGCAAAATGTGTTGCTGTGTCTCAAAATTAGTTCCAGGTATTTTTGTTTCAAATGTGCTTACGATGACAATGTTTACAACGACTTGCATTGGGGGTTCCATGCACCCTCTCTAATTCCCAATGACACCAAAGAGAGCAGCATTAGGCCCGATTTGCTTTCATTATTTATTTATCTTTATTTATCCAGGGAGGGCTCTATGAGCGCACCACACTCGCTCTCATGAGTGTCCTGCTCCAACACAGAACAACAACATACATATGCAAGCACAAAGACAACAAAATAATTAAAAACATGTACAGTTTTTTTACAGGAGGCCAAGATTCATACAGCTACCAAAACATTTAGATTAATTTAGAAAATAATTCCTCACAAAAAAGATTGCGTTAGATTAAAATGTAAAACCTTTCTCAATTCAGGTGACATAATATCATTATAAAGTGTGAGCCATTTCAACAGAACTCTGATTGAACAGTTGCTATTGTTCCCTACAGACCAATCAATCACACAGCTAATTTACAGCTAATATCTATTGACTTTAATCTGACAATAAATCCTCTTGTAAGTATCTTAACAGTGTAAACACAACATGAATGATGACATTAAAACAGGCATGAATCCATCTACTTTGGTGGAAAGTGAGAAAGACTATTACGAGAGGTGGGAAACTACTTGGATTTTGTACAGTGTGTAATTATTGCATTTTGTCCATAGTTATTTGGTGCTCAATCATCAGCTAAGACTCAAACGAAGCAGTAATTACAAAAACAAGTCTGTAGGAATTGTGTAAATGTTGAATTTTGTATGATGAAACAGTCTGTTCTTGGTAGAAAATCTATGATGTTAGAGCGTCATGAGACAGGTTAGTTTTACTGATGATGTGTTGTTGCAATAGTAATATGGTTTGTCTGGGCCAAACTGAGAATAAGTCTAAAAATCTGTGTTCCAAGCCACTGATTAATTATAATAAATAATAAAAAACATTTATTCAAATAACAAAATAATCTTCAACATTATTTTCACAGTAAGAATCTTGGAAAATTCTTTGAAAGTAACAATTGAATAAGTTGTGGGAATCCTTTTGTTTTGTGAATTGATGGACAAGTCTGTGTCATGGGAGAGTGCGTGGGGAAATGTGCAGATCTTGTTACAGAGAAAAAATCTACCTCAAATCAGATCACTTCATGTAACTAAATACACTACATCAGATTAGACAAGAAATACATATTCACAAGGTGTTCACTGCGAATGGGAAACCGTAATTATATATACTCCAATCAAGATAAATACACCACTTTTTAGATAGTGTTTTTTCCACACTGCAGAAGATGATATGTTAATCATCAACTCAAGTGCTCCAAGTAGTTGTATTGATCTTGATTTGAGTATTTTTTACTGTCTTAAGAGAAGATTTTCTAAAGATAAAAAGTCTAGATATTCTCATGATACATTGGATACTTGAAATGAAACTGCTTCAATTTGCAAAACTTATTATTATTATTATTATTAAGTCAACCATTATACACAATAATTATTAGTATGCAGTGCAACATTAATTCATTGAAATTATAACATTTTGATCTTAATAACTCATATTTCTGACATTTTGAAGATAATTGGAGATCTGTTTTCCCCATAGGGAATTGTTTGTCACATTATGTTTTTTCCATTGGTAAATCTCTCATTTTAAGACATGCACTCAAGATAAATAAACATGCATAAATATATTATTATTTCCTGTAAGCATGTTTTTCTTTCTCGAGTCAAAACTAGAAAACTCCATCTCACCAGTGCCCATGGAAAGCACTTGCATGTTCTCAAACTCCAGCGTGGTGTAGGCTGGGTCCAAGGCCTCGCTGTAGTCTGCCATGTCCATCATTACTCCAATCAGCGGCTCCAAAACTATACTTACTTAATAACAATACTAACTTTACTATTCGCTTTACTACACCCTCCCAAGCTGAGAGCTGAGCATCTGACAGATCCGATCCAAGCAAACCCTCATTCCCACACACCTCCTCCTCCTCTGGGCCTGTCTCCACCCACAGGTACCTGCCCCTTCCCAGTGCAGAGATGGGCCCTTAGCGAGTGACAGGACCAGAGGTGGAGTGTCCCCGGGTTGATGGTTAACCAGGCGCTTCAATGTGAAATCTCGGTCTTGTTTTTGAGCAAAGATAACGGCAAGCTGAGTGAATCTGTCAGATCATTAGATATTCATTTCTGCAGTATCAGGCTTTAAACAAAGATTAAAGGGGATGTACTGTGTGAAATAGACTGCTCTGATGTCTTTACCTTGTCACAACAGTGCTTTCTTGTCATTATCTTTGGTCAGTATTTAAACTATGGAAAATTAAGGATGGACGTATATGACCTGGATAGGGTTTTGCAAGCTTAAGCCGGTCTTCAGCATCGTGGTGGACCCGACTACTGCACCTCGGCCGCTTTTGGAGATTTTACCTCAATGTTTACAAAAACGACTCATCCTCAGCTGACAGGGAAGCTGCAGCTCTTAAAAAGGTCGTATTGTGTGCGGATTTTAGTGCCCTTTGTCATCATGATTTTTGTTCAGCTTTCAATAAATCCACACTTTTGTGTCACACTTGTCTCACTCACGTCCCGCTCCAGCACAACTCTGATCAGTGCCACGCTCAGGCCTCCTCTGCTCTCATCATCACCTTACCAGAGTCTCTGCTGCAGCAGCATAGAAAGTGTACGAGAAGAAATGTATGGGAGTCAATCGATCACTTTTGGTGTGAGTGTAAGAGGACATGATACCCGTTTCTAACTTTTAGCTACACATTTTTATATAAGAAACAAGTTCTTGCACATCAGTGATTGATGTGATTGTTCTCAATAAAACATCAAAGGCACCTCTCTCCCACACCAAGACGAAATACATTATTTATTTAGAGTAAAAATGTCCATGCAAGGCTGCCAAATTGTCAGTGTATCAGTGATTCAGAAAACAAAAACATGGTTCAAATCTGTGAAAAGTCGATCTGTGAAAAGCTGATTCTGCTTATGTCCCATTTTAAATTAAATGATCTGACCATGTCCTACAGTTGCCTTATCATTTGAAATCAGACATAATAACCAAGTAAAAGTGGCTGTGGCTTCAACACATTTTCTCATGGGGCTGTCAGTGCTGATTGGACGTGTTGGGCTGGTCTTTGTTGCACTGGTCTTGCGGAAGTAGAACACTGGGAACCTACTATGCAAGACAGGACAAGACAAAAATGCGCCACTTTCGCTAAAATTTCAACCTCTATGGAAATCCTCATACACCAACGAGAACAGGCCATTGATTTGAATGGGCAGACATCTTGGATCACCAGGGTTTGGTTGAAACACATTACATGGAGTGGTGTGCAATGTGCAAGAATTTAAGAATGTTTTCTGAAAATGAATATATAATCTAAGAATATAAGACAACAAGGCCTCTGCATTTGTGTAGCAGAAGACATTTTTAGGGTAGGGAGTAGAAACTGCAAATGACTCCAGGATGAATGAGGGATATCAACAATGACATCACAAATCAGACTAATACAACATGCATCATAGATTAGGAGGTGGCAGTTTTAATATATTGTGAATTTTATGAAGAATGTGATATACAGGTGAAACTTGAAAAAAAAAAATATATCCATCCATCCATTTTCTTCCCCTTAATCCATTTCTGGGTCGGGGGGGTGGCAGTCAGAGCTGCACCCAGTACACTTAGCACCAGTCCCTCACTGATCCTCCTGCAGGTGGAGAGTCCACAGGAGCTGAGATCTTTCAGTTGGAGCTTCAGGCAAAGTGGGGTTAAGTGTCTTGCCCAAGGACACAACGACAGCAGTCATCAGTGGGAGTCGTGAAGTAGGTCTTATGGTGGGCTTGAACCCACGACCTTCAGGCCCAAAGGCCAATGCTCTACCAACTGAGCTACTGTCGCCCCAAACATATATGTTTGTAACATATAGTTTTATAAATCTCACATTGAAAATAGTTTATTCACTTAAACCACAGCTTTAAACTGCAGAAAGTGGAGTTTGTTCTGGTTCTATGACTACTGCTGCCGAATAGTAGAATGTGAAATCCTGGCTCCTTCATCTCGGTTGGATGGCATTGTTTGGATAAATAAACCGTGGATAGTTGCACAAACGCTGGCCTTCTTCATGACAGAGTAAACAGTAGCCCGATATTTGAAGAGAAAGTGCGGAACACGACAGGTCAACGATCCGCAGTTCAGACTCAGTTCTGCGCAGTAAAACCTGTGCGTCTGATGTGCTATACTGAACACTCCAGTTTTACGTGCAACAATGAAATGTGTGGTCTCATAAAAGACACCAGCAAACACCAGGGAGATTACTGCAAGGACATGTCAAGTCCCAAGACCAAATTCCTCCTGGTGACAAGGCTGCATTCACATGAAATCACAACATTCTCTTCTGGCTCTATGTTAACATGGAGATGCAGGTCAATTAAGAATTCTATGGCAGAGTCCACTGGTAAGACACTTCACCCAGACTGCTGTGTGAGTGAATGATTGGTGGTGCTCAGAGAGGAAAGATTAAGGGATCCTTTATTTGTCCCACAGTGGTGACATTTCAGTGCGATGGCTCAGATTGGCAGACGCGCTTCCAGATTCAAATTCAGGTTATTTGCCATTTGTAGTAACAGCACATTGGAATAACTGTGCTAGACTACCCCAGTGTGCACCAGTACACACCAGAGCTCTTGCCACGGCACCATGTCTGTGCTTCCGTCCCTCTACCTCAGATAGGGTGTCATGGAAGGTGCAACATAAATGCTATACTTCAGACGAATATGGCAAGTTTGAGGTTTAACATTCAAAGCTTACAGCCCACATTCTTGACTGGTGGATTAAACAGCAGCATGTTGGAGGTGGATGAGAGGAATATCGCTGTCTAGTCTGGTACAAATGTGAATAAGTGTGGAAGCCACAGTTTAGGGCATCCCTTTTCCTTGAATATTACGTCTGATTTCAAATGAAAAGGCATCTGTAGGGTGTTTGGCGGTTGGTGGTGTGAACACGGCCTGAAGAACACGGTCAGATCATTTAAATTAAAAACGGACATAACCTGAAAAATTGACTTTTCACAGATTTGAACCATGTCACAGTTGTTTTCTGAGTCTGTGATACACAGACAATTAGGCAGCTTTGCATGATCATTTGTACTTCAACTTTAAAAAATATTCTGTCGGTGTGGTAGAGCGGTGCCTTTGAGGTGATCACATCACTCACTGATGTGCAAGAACTTTATAAAGCCTAAACATATTTTTAGATATGAAATTGAGAATACACTGAAATATAATAAGCTACGTGTGTCAGAAATGGCTATCATGTCCTCTTTACTACAAACTCCAAAGGGATGTGATCTATAAACTCCCATATATTTCCTCTCGTACACTGCTGCAGCAGAGACTCTGCGAAGATGACGAGGAGAGCAGAGTGGCAGAGTTGAATGGAGCTTAACTTTGGAGCAGACAGACAGCTCCAAGAGAGAAGGCAGTGACAACACAGAAGCAACTGGGCCTTTGTAACTTCTGCTGATAGCTCTGGTCCTGCCCCAGAAGAGTCGAAATGTTTCCTTGATCACCCTGAAATGAATGGTGGGTCACTCCACTTTGTTCTGAATTCAAAATAGCTTCATCCAATCCCTTTTCAAACGGTGTATGTTATGTTATTGTTGATCTATCAAACATGTTGCGTCGTACAGGTTTTAAAATAATCATCTGTATTGAGTGATTGAAATACCTCACCTCATATGTCATCACTAGGACCAAATCATGACATTTGAAATTGAGTAAAAAATGTTGACATCTAACAAATAAGAATTACATTTGTAATAGTTCATTCAGAGAGTGTAATGGCTACAGTAATCCAATCATTAATGCTAAATCCACATAAACAATACGCCTCTGCTATTCATCACATTTCAGTCACTTTGAGAGCATGTTTGGGTGGATTGCATGTTTGAGTAATTGTTCTGCAACTGGGACTTGAGCGCCCATATTAGTGGCTTTCACCCACACCATACAGTGCCAAAAGTATTCACCCCCCTTGGATTTTTACCTATTTTTTTACATTACAGCCTTTAGTTAAATTTTTTTTAACCTGAATTTCATGTGATGGATCAGAAAACAATAGTCTAAGTTGGTGAAGTGAATTGAGAAAAATACATACATAAAACTATTTTTCAGAAATGAAATACTGGAAATTGGCATGTGCATATGTATTCGCCCCCTTTGTTATGAAGCCCATAAAAAGCTCTGGTGCAACCAATTACCTTCAGAAGTCACATAAATAGTGAAATGATGTCCACCTGTGTGCAATCTAAAATTGAACTTTTCGGCCATCAAGGAAAACGCTATGTCTGGTGCAAACCCAACACATGACATCACCCAAAGAACACCATCCCCACAGTGAAACATGGTGGTGGCAGCATCATGCTGTGGGGATGTTTTTTAGCAGCCGGGACTGGGAAACTGGTCAGAGTTGAGGGAAAGATGGATGGTGCTAAATACAGGGATATTCTTGAGCAAAACCTGTACCACTCTGTTCGTGATTTGAGGCTAGGACGGAGGTTCACCTTCCAGCAGGACAATGACCCCAAACACACTGCTAAAGCAACACTTCAGTAGTTTAAGGGGAAACATGTAAATGTGTTGGAGTCAAAGCCCAGACCTCAATCCAATAGAAAATCTGTGGTCAGACTTAAAGATTGCTGTTCACAATCGCAAACCATCCAACTTGAAGGAGCTGGAGCAGTTTTGCAAGGAGGAATGGGCAAACATCCCATAGGTAAGATGTGGCAAGCTCATAGAGACTTATCCAAAGCGACTTGGAGCTGTGATTGCCGCAGAAGGTGGCTC